CTATATGCATTCCTCATCTCCCCCATTCGTGCTACATGCCATGCCCACCTCATCCTCTTTGACTTGATCATTCTAATTATACTTGGATAAGAGTACAAGTTATGAAGCTCCTCATTATGCAGTTTTCTCCAACCTCTTTGGTCCAAATACTCTCCTCAACACCCTCAGTCTAAGTTCCTCCACGTTAGCACCACTAGGCTTTTGAAAGGTTAATTCAGTAGTTTTGTAGAAGAGGCTTTCGGGCGCATGAAGACGACCTCCCCCCTTACCACATTACGTAAGCAACGAAACAGACTTGTACAGGAGCACGTATAGCGCCACTGAGGCTGCATGGGACAACGTGAGGCAATTTCGCACCAACCCGGGTAGCTACAGCTCGACTTAACTGGCAGAGAACTCGCTCCGTATCATACGTAATTTTGTCTGGATCTCTGTGCGGGTCTTTCTAATGTCTGCTGGATTGACAGTGTTGTTGTAGTGATATTATAATTTAATTATAAATGGCAATTCCAGATATTGACATTAATGTGATTCAGGTGAATGCATTCGTAAGTAATAAGTTATTGTGTCTGTATTCGTCTAGCTAACAATGGAATGGATGGATCATTAGAGAATTTTATTAATTGTATACTCTCAGCTCCTTGCATTTATGGCTTAATATAGATTTTTTGCTTACGTTTACACATTTTAACGTACCATCGTAGGATTGGTGACAGGTTCTTAAATGGCGAAGTTTGTGCTGTACGAGCTCCGGTAAAACTATATGATTTCGGACGAGATCAGAAGATAAGTCAGAATAACGAGTCTAACCTGGTACATTAGAGTTACTTTTCCGTATTCCCTGTGTTTTTAATATTGGATAGGTGGAGCAGAGACCTAACTGTAATGTTTGTCGGATAGAGACTATTCTGACGCGTCCTCGCTCTCTCTTCAGATGCACTCGCATGCAATTGAAAATAAATGCTTTTGTAATGCCATTGAATTAGATGACAGCTCCACGTAGTAAAACTCATCTCAGAGAAACATCTCTACCAGACAAAAGAGTTTTCACAGCTCAGAGTTATTGAATCGCGTGGGTGCAATCATACGACATATCACTGTTCCAGAAACGCATCTGTTTTAAAAGAAGAATTATTGGACTAGGAATTACGAAGCTGGGGTCTGTACTACACGGCAAATTTAAGTTGTTTTTATGCTTTTATGATATTCTAAACATGTGCAACAAATCCACTATACAACAGAAGCAATGCAGGGCCGCGCCATAGCTCAAGCGGTTAGTCGCTGGCTTCCCACCGCGGCGGCCCGGGTTCGATCGCGAGGCTGAAAAAGTGGGATTTGTGGTGGACAAAGTGTCGTTGGGGTAGCTTTTCTCCGAATACTTTGGTTTCCCCTGCCAATCATCATTCCACCAATTGCTCCACAATCACACTCACCTATCATCTGGGGCTGGTACAATAAGCCAGAAGTGGCTGCAGTACAAGGGACTTAGTCTCACCCCACTAGCAATAAAAAAAAAAGTGAAAATGAGGGTGGTGCTAACTTCACCAGTGGTAGCAATTTCTTCTGAGTCCCGACAGAACTATTTGACAGAATCAAAGTGTATTTACCTGTATTTGCCCCAGTCCATGTAAGCCTGGTACAGGTATCCGAGCAGTGCGAATTTGTCTTCCCGTTTGCGGATTCTCTTGAGAGCGCTGCGCCACTTCCTCACGGCAGCCTGCTGTTTGTGTTGATTGTACAGACGCAGACCCTGTTCCACCTGCAAAATGAGCCACAGTGAAACTCTGCAATGCGTTTTACTTCAGTTACGGTGTGGCATTATTATTGTCCTATGCATATTGTGACGTGTAGACCCACCGCTAGGAAACAAGTTGACAAACATGTTGTAGAGATTGATTCTTGGAAACCACCTCGTCACGGTAAATATTTCCCTGGATACGAGTAATCAACAAACATTTCCTTGAATATCGATACGCTATATAAAATGCCGTTCAGATAAGAATGAAGTCAAACTTAGCGGCGGTCAAGCATACGACCGTTCAAGTGGCTAGAATGCTGTTGTAGCAGGAGCTACGTACTCGTACTAATGATAGTGCATGATCTGCAGTGCTGAGCCTGGACTGAGAGAGGCCTTGTATATACATACATTTAAAAACATGTAAAATGTACATTGTACATATTGACCACAAACTTATTACTGCTGACTGTGACTCTGGAAAACGGCAGACCCGTCCTCTAGTCAGAGAGAGCGCCCCAGTTCAACAAACCTGCAACTGTCTGACAGTAATACAAATCTGGCCGTAACCCTCAGATGGGTGCTTTATTCCAAGACAGACTGGCAGACTGACCATCGGTCGTAACATAACTTTGACTTTTGAGAAGGAGTCAGTCGCAAATCAGAAGTCAGTCGTAGTCAAGTCATCAAGGAGCGAGTCATAGGAAGTCATTGATTGTGATTAAGCGAGATTGTAAAAGAAAGTGTTAATAAATCCAGCCATCCAATGTAAACCCCGTTATTATTAGGAACTCAGCCATAAATACGTTACAATATATTTCGGGAGTCCTTTCTGTTACCATCTTCAGGTGATTTTGGCTATTATTGTGTTCAAAGATATTTCTCATTGTGGCCATATAGTGCAGAATTTCCAAATGGCAGCCCCGGCACCCCAGGAGAGAACCTGACGTTTGACATCTGAGAGTAACTTGGGAACGTAGCTGCCAAAATAGAACTAGAAACGCAAAAATAAAACCACAAAGAAAGCGAATGCGGTCCGGGTTACTGTCACCCAGCGGTTATGGTGACTCGGTGTCTATCAGAACGAGTGGAAACGAAGAGACTTTGCCGTGTCCTTTGTGCAGTTTTGAGTACGTTGATGAAGAGTAGTGTTTAAAAGGAGAGTGGATTAGATGTCACAAGCGTAAAAAGCAGCCTCATGAAGCTTGCGTAGGTGTTCAGGGTAGAAAATAATTGTCTCTGGAATATATATGTACATATAAAGGTCGTCAAAAGAGAGCGACTCAAACAGCCCCTTCACTGATCGAAATAATTTCTCAGTTTTCGGATTTGCGACTTCCTAAGTTCTGTTTATTTTCTAAAAAACTGCTTTTGATACTAAGGCAATGTATTATAGTTCATTGCACTGATATCTGTTATAACATTTTTCTTGACTGTAGTTTGTTTTCACCATTTTCTTCCACCTAAAATCCGAAATGATTCAATTAGCCTCTATATGGCATCATCATCACTGGCACGAGAGCCCTTTGTGAGGCCTGGTCTTCCTCAGGATTTTTCGCCATCCCTATATGGCATACTACACAAACATTTCAAGATCACTTCCCTTGCATAAAGCGGGAGCGTAATTTAGGTCGGTTCCACCCTTCAATTCATCAAGGACTGCCCGACATGTTGTTACGTTTCATTCCAGCAATTGCCACTGTGACCCCCATCACTGTGTAACAATACCCATTACACTCAGATCACAATTTTATTGGCAATATTGTGTGTATGAGTTATCAGCTGTATGTATTTAAATAAATTTATGCTTCGTTTTATATGTCTTAAAATTGTAACTTTGGATGTTGTAAGTTTTGTGGTCCTTGCAACGTATTGTGGCATACAGACCCGTTACTAGACAACGACAGCAAAACAAACAGCGAGGCAACAGCCTTTGCTAGGCAGTGGACCGCGCTCAAGAGTGCAAATAATGATGGAATTGGGGGTTTCTCTATGGTGCACTCTGAGGCTATATGAGTCGACCTACCGGGTTCAGTTCAGTTTGTGCAGTGAAGGGAAGTGAAGATTTGGTTAGTTAGTGAGTTAGTCAGAGAACTGCAATTCAGTCGTTGTGAGTTATTGCTATTAGAATCTGGTAGCTGAGACACAGGGATAGTTCGGGAACCCAGAGTAAAGGGGACATCCGCCGTTGGAAGTCGTTACCGAGCAATGACTGGTGAAGGAACATCAGACTGAAATGGCATATTGCGTGCAGCAGTGAATTGTAGAGTATGTGAATAAGCAATAGCACTGCAATTATTTGTAGCTACGATCTGTAAGTGGTTAACAAGCTCAATTACCATTCCAAACCTCGTCTATAGTCACGCGAACACTTGATATTTAAGGGACAAAAGAATCACAGTACCTCTTCAAGAGAGAATTAAGCTGAACACCTGTTCCCCGTTTTGAACATCATTAATACTTTCTTCGGGGACACATATACCGAAGCCACGGAAAGTGGCCCCACAGTCGCTCTACTCCACACACATACTTCGAGCTGCTTGTTTCCCCCGCCAGCCTATAAGTGCTTCCTCATGTCCTTCCCAAGATGCCTGGCCATTCTATTCAGGCGAGTATTGTTTTCTCTGGGTTATCTGACCAAGCTGTGAATAGTTGTATAGAGATGAATAGCAGTATCACAGATGAATGATGAATAGGGAAAGGTTCGGAAGGAAATTTCATGGTGCCATTATAGCATTTGTCTGGAGGATCTGATAGAAACATACAAAATCTCAGTCAGTGTTCCAGCTTGGATCTGAACGGGAATGTTGTTTGTCTAAAGACGTTCACATTTCTGCCGAATGTTGTACTTCTGTCCAGTACCTTCCGTCCTATGTCAACAGCTCCAAAGTACTTTTCTTTAGAGAAGGTCATCACGACCATCAGAATCATCAGATGTAGTTAGATGTCTGGAGGAGATACGGAGAACCTTTTCAGAAAGAAACCTAATAGCTCGTGGGAGATTTTGAAGGGGAGGGGGCTATGAATGGGAATTATTTGCGTGGCCTCAGTATGTCTTCAAGCGCTTTAGGCTGGATGACGTAGTCAAAGAGACAGCAGTTTGACGCAACAGTAGACAGAGAGAGAGAGAGAGAGAGATTCCGCAACTGTCGTCATGCTCACCATCCGAAGGACTTCAATACAGTGATACGCGCTTGCATTTTACGCCCGAATTGTATATAAGGCACTGTGTGGTGTTTCCCTTCGTACATCAAACACCGAATAAATTAATCCTGTCAGTAAAAAAATAATGAAGGTAGAGTTGACAGAACCAGGGCAATATTGTGCAATAAACGAACTTCAGCAAATATTGAAAGCGATTTAAAGTATGCAGGGGAAACTGATCAATATAAAAAAAATTAAATTTGTTAGCTAAAATTTGTAAAATTTGTAAACTAATAGCACATAATCAAACTACTAACGGAACAAAATGATGTCTTCAAAAGTTACTTTCACACACTGATTATTCATTAAAAAGTAAAGTTATCCCCGTGCTTAACTAATTAAGCACTACGCCAATAAGGCTTATGGGGGAGGGGATATATAGATCCACATTTTCTTGATCTAAGCACTAGTTGGAGGTGAGTGGTCGTCTTCACGCAGATCCCTCGGAAGACCATTATAAACAGATTTTTATTTACAATAAAAATGATGAATTTGGAGTTAATTTATATTGACATCATAACTATCCGATTAATTGTTCAAAGTTCTATAACTAAAGCGATTACTTGATATGATGTAATGAAATGCTCACCCTCCTCCTCGCCAGCTGCTGATCTACTTTATGCCTGCACCCGAGGAGACACTCCCAGAGCCCTCTGGACGCGCTTCGTCGACCAGGACTGCCAGGCAAATCCTCTTCGGCGAACTCGTACACATCCAAAGGGTGCCGAGATCCATCGGGAGAGGGCAGCAACGCCGTCGCCGACAGTTTATGGCTAGCTGTGCCACTGGAACGGAAACGTGAAGTCCGAAGTCAAGCAGATCTACTGGTAGAAAATGTAGAGTCGAGTCTGGGTGGACCAGTGCTATTATAGCGCACACTTAAATCTGTACCACTGGACTGGACATGCAGAATTAGATTTATTTCATTATTACGTATCATTTTGAGTTATTATGATAACATTGAGGGATTTGGAACAGAACTGAGAATAATATTTGGACTTAAGAGATATGAAAATATCTGAGGATCGGGAATCGAATTTCGGATCCTACGCTTATATCTTTATATTTATTTATATTTATCACCAACTACAGTGGAACCCCAGCAATTCGAACCCACTTTAATCCGAAATGACTTCCAGTACCACAACCCCCCCCCAATCGAAAAGAACTTAATGAAAAATGTAACTCGATTACGTGATTGATCACTATATTAAAAGGCATGATGTTTTACATATTTTTGTTTTTATATCTGCCTATACATAGTTTGAATAAATAATTTTACTAAAAAATCTGATTCTGTGTTTGAAATCCAGTAATCCGAAATTTTCAATAGTCCCAACACACAAGTTCTTTAATTAGTTCATAAGACGTATTATAGAATTGTGAGTTTACTATGCATGGGAGCTTACGAAAACTTCCCCAAATTCTGCATTAAATATTTTGTGTTGTGTATTATACCATAACAGCTTAGCGACGGCCATCCGTTACAAGATCCCACCTACAGACCGTATCCTCAATTCGTTTAATTCGCTTCATATTCTCATAATCTCTTTCCTTCCGACGAATAGAGATCGCCGTTATATAGCGGCAACTTCTTCTACATAGATGCCGATCGGGTAGTCTGCTCACAGAGCTACAGGGGAACTGCATGCGACAAATGGGAATAGACGCGTGCATGTCTTATTATGACGGCAAGTAGATGAAAGAAATTAAATTTCTGGAGCGTGGCTCCCACTTCCAGCCTCATCGCTCTGGAAGCCTCAATTTCTAAGAACAGGAATTATTCGGAAGTGCCGCCATTAGCAGTCCTTTCAACGGCACTAAGAAGGCACTTTCTCGGAGTTTTCAGTGATTAAGTATTTAACGACTCTCTTCCACCTGCAGTTACCAGAGAGCATCAAATCAGTTGGAATATGATTATGGTTCGTGAGAAGGTAAGACATTAAGAGGACGTTTCTCTGGTCTGCAGTATTATCCAAGCAATTCTGCTAGTAGCTCAGGGGACCCAGGACAAGCCTCGGTAGCGAGAGCTAGGAGTCTGTACGAAATTTGAAACCGATATCGGAGAGCGAGCTTATTGTCAGGCCTTCTCCTGGGACCATCCTCACAGTGCTGCCAACCTGAAACTAAGAGAAATACATAGTCCCAAAGAAACTGAAAGCGGCCTGAGAGGGTTGTCGTGTTTTCCATTAAATAGATATCTAATGGCGTTTTCTGTCAGCCTCAGCTCAACATTTCGAAATACACGTTTTAGCCCAATGTAGGACAGTTTTGAGCCTATCACAGTGGCCACGTGGTCTAGTGCATGAACTGTCTTCGCTCGCTCGAACACTGGGATCGTGGGTTCGAATCCCATTTTAGGCATAGGTGTCTCTGTGCATTTATTCTGTGTTTGTGTTGTTCTGTGTCTAGGTAGCGACTCTGCGACGGGCTGATCCCCGTCAAAGGGGTCCTACTGACTGTGTGAAAAGATCAGGGGACTGAAATAGCGGCCAAGGCCCAGGAAGGTGCCGTAGAGCCATAGATAGATAAATAGATATGTGAGATTTGAGGATTTCACGGTGGTGGCTATGGAGAATGCCGTCTTCTGGGTGGTGGTGCCGTGTAGATATTCTGTGAGAAAAAGTTTCGCCTCCAGCTTCAGGGTAGAAAAATTCGCGAGCGAGGAACCAGCTTGAGCATGTGGCTGCAGATAAATAGGACAGTTTTTAAGTTCATATAAAATAAACTGGTCCTGGTTTTGCTCTGTATTTTTATATGTAAATATAGTTACTTAAAAAATGAGGACATTTCATGCGACACAATCGGAATAAAGCACCGTGAAATAACTTAACAATGAGAGATCGCCATGTTGCCTGTTAAACACGCAGCAGGGTAGATTAACACTTCAGCAGTTTAGGTCTACTTGAGTTTGAAGCAGTCTCTTCACTATTTTTATCGATAACGGAAATATAACGATACGGTTTCAGAGATATTAACGAGAGCTGTTCGAGCTCCCGCAATGTTATTCGGCTCCAACCCTTCCGAATAGAAGCTTCGAATACAACCTGTCAGATCTATTTATTAGCATGGGTCCCTTACTTTATCAGGAAAGATAAGTTCATAGCTCCAGGTGTCTGCCCTCCTAACAACTTCTGAACTTCCTGGTGGATCGTCTTTTCACGTTGCTAGAGTGGCCAAATCTTTCACTTTTCAATTTGCTCTCAATATGGCGGTTATGAGAACCTGTGAGACGGGACCGGAACTGGCCTTCTAAACCAGGATCTCGAAACTTCGCCCAGTAATGCATATTTTGGATATATTCTAAAGTTATGCAACTTTTATTGGGGCACATTTTTAATGGCACATGAATGTGGCTGAAATTTATAATCAGTTTCCTGTTTGATTGCTCCGAGCTAGTCGTGTGGAATTTAGTATGCAGATGGACCATAAATAAGTCTACATTTACTGTGCATTAGCAAATATATAGGTACGGCATTTCGGAGGTATATTAAGAAAATTTTATTTATGGGTTTCCCTACTATTTGTAGGTATACATCTGCAAACATTCTTTTATTTTTAGGGTGAGTTGAGACTTAGTCCCTTAATACTTAGACCATGAACCGCCCATTGTATTGTACATCCCTCGGGTGCCAGATGAGAAAAATGGATCACTTTGTGAAATAATAAATGGCAAGGAAAGATAAATGCTCGGAGAGAACCTAGACGAAATTAGCTGAACTGAGACTGAACCAAGGCTCCTGTGCATCTCACTTGACGCAAGCCACTTCTCCATTTATATGAAGCTTAGCTGACACAGCCACAGTCTCCTTTAGGCGCACGAATGAATGGCTTGTTTACTTTACGAACTACTTCTGTAGGAAAACTTTGCTTCTTGCTACATCTACTGAGGAGGTGGGGAGACGGGCTTGACAAAGGAGATGATGTTCAGTAAAGAAAGCAGGTAGCTTGAGGAAGCTCCGTAGCTTTCTATCCAGATTGAACCAAACAACTTTCTGCCTCAGTAGTTGGTCTTGATTCCCTCGCATCAACTTCAGAGGAACTTGTCTTACTGCAAACTTAGGCGATCCTATGTTACAGAGATTTGTGTCAGGAACAAGATTTTGTTTTCCTCTCACACGCAAAGTTTCATACAGCTACGTTTTGGTTACTAATTCTTTTCCTTATTGAAACACGAAAGCCGTTCTTTAAAAAATGCTCCAGAAATTTGCGTTATATCTGCATTCTGTTTCAAAATATTAAAATCGACTTTTATTTATAAAAGTCTACAAACAAGAGGGAAGCATTTATCTAAGGAGGAAATACAAGAAAGGGATTCACTGACTGATCAATCAACACAATATTTACTGGGTAACGAATTAATGAACCAAATAACTGACATCCAAAGAAACATCCTATTTAAAGAACTGAGTAGCTAGGTGGGCATCTGATTGGTAAGCTTACCAGCCAGATGGCTCAAATGTGTAATTAGCTAACAGAATTACTAACCATCCAAATGAGACTATTTCTCGTGAAGTCTTTTTATTCCATTTCGTTTCGCATTAAATAGTTTTAGATTGCTGGAAGAAATTTTGAATCAATTTTTACTCTGTATTGTAACAATCACATATTAATTTATTTTAAAATAAAGACAGGTCTCTGTTAAGTACAGTTTCTGTTTAAATAGATTTTGCTTTATGTGGATGTGGAATTTGCCACTTATCTCATAATTAATCTGTTTAATATTCTCAGTGTAAATATAAATATCGCACCATCATCATCATCATTATCATTATTTTGCAGGGATTCTATGCGTAATTTCTTTGCAGAAGATTTTGTCTCTGAGCAAATATATTTTAATATTGTCGCGTATCGGGCTTATATCGCGACAAATAACTTCTCGTTGTATTTGATGTAGCGAGTTTTATTTCACATTCGCTCATACAATCACCCAAATTACAATCTGACGATTACTGCTACCTGCAGTATCACAATTAGTACACTCCAAATGCCACAATACAACTGACTGGTTGCTGGCTAACTCGACGATAGGTCCAGGACTCGCTGACTGACTCAGTACAACTCTGCGGTAGCCACACTAGAACTGGCTGTGAATAGCCTTCGCTTCTCCCTATGTAGCCTCGATCGGACAATACGGGAAAACGGCCACGTAATAGGCACCCTTTTGCCTGGCGCTCTGTTGCTATGTAACGCTAGCGGAGGTCACCGCTGTTACTATCGTAACGTCGCCGCTGTTGATTCGCGTTGCCTAGCGACCGCGATATCCCTCGGTGACGTCACCGCGGAGGGGAGTGGCGGGGCGGGAACTCGCCTATTACCGTAAGAACGCGAGCGTTACGCCACCGCCACGCACCGCTGGGGAGGTAGGGGTCAACATGTCACAATATTTTATATTTTACTTATATTTGACTCAGAGAGTTCTTACTTCTCCAAGACATATTCTACTATATAGCAACCAAGTAGCAGCCATCCTTACCAGCTCCTGATCTGCTTATTCTCCGCAACCGTTAATACGCGTATGTTTAAACACATAATTTGAAGTACAGTCTCACAATTAAATCTTGATTATTTTGAATAATTTCACAAACGTCATCTTTCAGAATTCAGTCACTTTACAAACGTTCTTATAAGTTTAATAAGCAGCTCTGATACACAGGAAATACATTATATTATGGTAAGCGAGCCGTATCTAAAATTATATCGCTTTAAAAAATTCAGCCAAAAGCAAAAATCTTCTCAGATATATTTAGATTTTCGCGCTTTCGCAGTGCTAAGTTGCAATATGCAACTGTTAGTTTCGCCACATCTATC